TCATTTATCAACCTGCTGTGCAAGTGGCCCTTCACTCAAAAAGGTTGTGCACCCCTAATATAATGTAAAAGAATACTGCCGTTTGCTGTCTCAACACCCATAAATTTAACTGCTTCCCTTGTAATACACAAGTTTTAAGTAGAAATTTTTTATGCGTAAAAAAAATTTCATTTACAGTTTACTATCCAGAGTTATCTCGGGCAAATAATATAAGTTAAATATCAGTCTTTGATAGTTTTTAAAACAAGGGACAACACAAATTGATACTTTCCAAACACCAGTGAAGTGATACATAATTTTTTTGACTCTTTTTTCTGTGCAAATTCAGCCACCATCGAATATACAACAGTGCAAAACATGTGTACAGTCCCACAATCCAACAGCAAAACGACCAAAACAAAACTTGGTGAACTTCCATTCACAACAGATTATAATTTTTTTTTTGCTCCCGGACTTGTTGATAAAACAAAATGTGCTGACAAATTCTGCCATGCCCTAGTTTTCTAGGGATAATAAATATTTGCAATATATGCATACCTCAGGATTATCAGGGAAGCTGTTAAAAATGGAGAACTGAAAAGAAAATCTGGAGAAGTAAAATTGGAGTGCACTATAACCAAACTACCAATTTCTGATTTGTCTGCTATAAACGTTTGAAATAACATTATCTAAATGGGAGTTTAGGCAAAATCACTAAAAAAGTTCACTAAAACTGAGTATTCAGGTTCACTCAATATCTCAGCTTCAGGTTCAACTGAATTTAAAAAATTCTAAGAGCCCCTGCTGCTGTTTTGAGTGCTGAACTTTAGGTGACATTTTGTTTAGGTGCACAAAAACTATAAAACTTCGAAACTATAAATTGTGAAAGTGCATAGAAAAATGTACAAACTTGTAGTAAAAAAAAAAATTTTAGAGCCCCTCTGCACCCTGCAGAAATTGAACAACAGAATTAAATTAAATTGCAGAATTAAAAATTTAAGAGCTTTTTCGCAAATTTTTACTCACTTATTTTGCTTTAAATAATGACTATTTATTTTCATTGTTGTAGGAAAATTTATTTACCTCACTTAAGATCTTAAATTTAATAAGCTCGCGCTTGAGGTATAGCGAATATTAAGGATAAAATAAAATGATATATTTAAGAGAAAAAAATTAAAAAAAGAACTATCATACAGACAAATCCCATATAAACTTAAAAATAAAATTATCAAATATTTATGATTTTTATCTTTAGTGAACAAAATATAATAACCAGATATAATAATTGGATTATAACCAGATTGGATTGGAACCAGATTAATATAACAAAATATAATAACCAGATTGAATACAATAACCAGATATACTTACATTATCTAATTGATTACCAGGAATAAACTTTACTCGAACATATTTTTTATTTACAACTTCTAATTTTTCAACCTGAAACAAACAAACAAGTTTTAATTATCTAACTTTCGATAACAGAATAAATCATATTAATTCTACAACAACATTTTTCTTAATCTTCTAACTGTTATCACAAAATAAATAAATTTTAATTTCACAACCCTATTAATAAGAATCCTACAGCACAACAAAATAAATTTTACAAATATAAAAAAATTTTTTATTTCTTAAGAAAAAAATTGCGTCAAGAAACTATCACAGGTCGCACATCAAAATCGGAAGGACACAGGTTGTGCACCCCTAGTGTAAGGCAACACAACTTATTTCATAATTTTTTTTAATATCATTTTATTATTCTTTTTTTTTAAAAAAAAAAAGAGAAAGACAATCTGTAAAATTATTGTCTTTTTTTTTCAAAAATTTATAAAGATGCATTTTAATTTATCTTCAATAAACTTGACATATGCACTTGTATACACAATAACTGTATAACAATTTTAAATGCATTAATATTGTTTTTAAATTTATTGCTATCATTCAATTTCATTAATATTTCAACTATACAGAATTCTACTAACTATAAACTAAAGTTTTTTAAGTATCATACAATAAAGATATATGAAAAAATGTGATTTAAATTAAATAAATCAGGTTTTTTTTTTAAAGAATCGACAAAATTCTTAAACCGTGCAATGAGCAATGGCTACCAACTTGTCTGAGAAACATAGGCAGCAGCCGTTGTGCAATGCTGATAACATAGGTCTAGAAATTCTGAAACCTGATGAGTAGGTATTGATGAGTGTTTTTTATTAAATTCTAACACATCGCCTAATTGTAAAATTTCTTTAATTAAAAAAAATATTTAACTGACAAGTAAATAATGTAATATTCATAATACACATTTAAAAGTAAATGAATTAAGTTTCACATTAAAACAGTTTCTAATACAAGATCAGATGAAAAAACAACGATTGACTGAGAATGCAATTGAAAAGGAGGGAATGTTAATTCTTAGCATCAAACTTTACAAAATTTCATGAATCTGTAGACAATTTAATTTGAAGAAGTGTTTTAACCTAGTAAAACAGGATAGTTAAATAGTATGTGAAGTGTAAGGTATAAGAATGATTTCGCTTCAAGTTTTAAATAAAATCTCAATTTTTATAATGTTTGAGAAAATGTTTTCCATTTGTTCAGGAGATTAAAAAAAATGTTAAAACAAACACAAGATTTACACACATAGAAAAACCAGTCCACATTAAAGAAAAAGAAAATTTCATAATAGCAATTGAGAGAGAAAAGTAAGAATATTTTGTGGTCTATTTTGGGTATAAGAATATTTCTGGGTTTGGGACCCTAATTAATAATACTTTTAAAAATTAGTATTTTATTTAAAAACAAAGGCAAAACTGCTAAAACTTTACACAATTTTACAGAGAATTCTACTAATATTCTAGTTGTTAATTGAGTTGCTGTTTCTATCATCCTGGAAACAAAACTGTATTTTAATCAGAGATTGCTATAAAGTTAAATATGTTCACAAAATTTTTTTGAAGATTAAGAACTAAAAACAGGGCTGTTAAAACAGTGACAATTTTGATTAATTGAATTGGGAAAAACTTGTCTAACCTTGGTTAGTTAGTAAGATAACTTAGTACATGAAAGTAAGATATGGTTAAAGTAGAACATTCCTGCAATAGTCCATTGTGGGACAAGGGATCAGAGGAAATTTTTTTACTAATATACTGCATATATATATGGCCCCATGTCCTCACATAATATAAACCTACAATATTCCAACTCGGTCAGGTATTATATTATACCTAAGGAAATAATTAGGATGCATGGGAAATAATTACAGAAAAAAATGGGACAAGGCGTTTTAAAAACTGTACATATAAATGGCCCCTATAAAAACTGTACATATAAATGGCCCCTAACCCATAACATTCAAACTCGGTCAAGTATTATATTTCAGACAAGCTGCAGATAAAAGTAAGATTAGATTGAACACGATATCGATAAAAACAAAAGAAATCTTTGATCTTATGAAAATAATTTAGAAAAATGTTTATATTTAAGTGGAACAAAAATATTACTCAAATGAATAATGTGACAATTGTTTTAGTTAAGACTTGTCACAGACATAATTTGTTACATTTGAACATTTCTGAGCCCATACATGATTTAGTTTTGAGATGAGTTTATACTTGATTGAGTTACAGAAAAAGAACACAAAAATTTATTCAAACTAATAAAAATTCAATATTAACAAAGGAACTATTAATAAGTCAATTTGCTTGATTCAGATATTGCAAAACCAAAGAAAATTTAGATAAGTTGCTGAGTTAATAAAAAAAAAGACAGTTCAAACTAATTCAATGTATCATTGGTGAGGTTTTTCTAGCTTATGTAATTCGCTAAAAAATTTACAAGAGAATAAGACGTAAATGTGCAAGTGTTCATTTTTACAGTACTTTGGGATCCCCACGACCATTTTCGCCAAACCCAATATTAACGTCAAAGGGCAGCTTTCGTTGCCAATAACTGCAAGTTTTATCATATTTTACTGTGTAATCCTCGACTATGTGAATTAATTTTCTTTAGATTTGAAATATCTGTTCTTTTTTACTCTGCTACAAAATGATTCAAATTTGGGATTTGCTTACCCAATACTTAACAAAAGAGAACAAACAACACAGAACTACCTGAAAACAGTAGGATTCCTATTTAAATTAATTTATGTGGCGGCAACAGCACACGGATAAAGACTTGTATGTTCTTTAAAAGCTATCAAGGATTTTTGGCTCCCAAAATTGTTCAGAATAATATAATGGTTAGATTCAAGAATAACTCCAATGTGTAATTATAAAAAGAAAAAAAAATAGAGGATTTTACTTTGGTTTGATTCTTTTTAAAATTTTTAATTACAAGTATTTTTACACTTTTTTTTGTTATCATTATTTTATTATTATTATTGTTTGGTAAATTTTCTGGGATTAGATTGTTTATTTTGAAAATTGCTTTTCAGTATGCTTTTAATTTTAGCGTGTTTTTGCGAGCGTTGTCAGGATAATCCCAAAGTGCAGGTCAATGGGATATTCCCTAAGTACCTTCTTTTTTTACAATGACTTTACAAAATTTTGCACAAATATGTTTATTAAAATTTATTTCTTCAACTGTTAGGTTATAATATAAAATGTAATTTTAAATAATATATGTTTTAATCAAATGCAATACACGACCTGTAAGTGCAAATTAAAGAACATAATAATTCATTGAAATTTTTTTTTAATGAGTAATGAGAAAAAATAAAAAAGGAAAATGCAATACTTACTAAATTTCTAGCAAGATAAGAATTAATGAATTCTTTCCAGGTAATTTCTTTGTATCGAAATTCGTTATAAGCGATCAGTGCCAAAACTCCCAGAGTACCAAAAAGTGCAAATGCAACAGTTTTATTGTCATCATCAGGACTAAAAGGGTTCTTCCTTCCTCTATTTAAGAAAAAAATTGAGAATTAAAAAAAATATTATGCTTAATAAGAAATATTTGGTGGATGTTGAAGTCACCTCTTTAGTATAAATTCTAATTTTTACTAAAACAAATTGTTTTGTGTGTTTCTTGGTGTACAAGTCATTTGTTGAATTCTCAACTGTTGCTGAATTTTAAAAAGTAAAATTTTTAAAAATATAAATAAATTTTCATTTAAAACTAAAAAAATATTTTACCAGTTTAATAATTTTAGCTTAACCCCTTAAAAGTACGCTATACCATGAGAAAAATTTTCACTGACAATTCTGTTATACTTCCAGTGGTGTTTCAAAACTTAAATTGATGAGTTCAGGTAAAGGACAAATCAAAATTTTTTTATCATCTTAAACTTAATGATTTATTCTAGATTTATAACTCACTTTTTCTATGCTTTAAATTTAAAATTACTTATGAAGGAGAAAGAGAATTTGCCATGAAAAATTTCCTCAGCACTATAGTATCCTCTTAATCAATAGTTCTGGTCTCTTCCTAACTTTGTGCATGGATAACCAATCCCCATCAGTCCTACTACTATGTGGTATGGCAGAACGACAGTGACACTCAAAGAATTAGTGAAAATTTTAAAAATAAATAAAAACAAATATAATATTCTCAAAACAAGTTGTCAAAATTCCTAAAAACAGGGTTCATTGCTTTTTTATCTTTTGAAAAAAAAAAAAAAAAATTACGACTTATTTTATTTAAATCATATTTTTTTTAATTACTTAGAAATTTTAGAAATATAATTATAATTGAAATACAATTAAAAATAATTAATAACAATACATTTCAAACTATATTGACACATTAAAAATTGTTTTATAGTAAATGCACAATACAGTACAACACACAAAGTAAAAAAAAATAATAATAAATAAATAAATACAATCCTAAATGACTTTTGTTTTAATGATTAGATCTTCACATTCTAGGACGTAATCTTTAAGGTTCAAGAAGATGACCTTAAATATGTTAATTAATAAGAACAAACGATATTTTAAGTTACAAAATCAGACACAAAAACTTACTTTCTCTGAACAAACATACTGTTTTATCTCTTCGGATTTCCGGCCTCCAAAATATAGGGGGTGTTGCGACATCAGTCACAGGAATGGAGAGTTAGTCTAAATAATTGTATTAACACAGAAGTGTAAATCTGGCTGGTTGTTGGGCAACCAACAAATTTTTATTTTGATAATACAATTATTTAGACTAACTCTCCATTCTAGTGATTGATGTCGCAACAGGGGATAACCTATCTGGGAAACAGGGACCAAATAGTTTTGTTTGGAGAACAGTTAAAAAATTTTCAACCGCTTAAAAATTTTAACCGTTAATTTAACTGGTGTATTTTACCATGTCTTGAGAACATTGTAAGCAAATTGAAAATTTTTTGCACAAAATTTTTAAATTTTTTTATTTAAAGATATTCTTTTTACAAACATTACATTTTTTTAAAATTTTATATAATAATAATAAAAAAATTAAATTATAAACACATAATTTTTTTTATCAAACTCATATAATATTCTCATTACGTACTAAACAATTTGCAACAAAAAAAAAATTGCCAGCTTTAAAAAAAATGCATAATCAAGTGATAAAAAACATGTAAATCATTTCTTCTACAACAAGTCAGCTATTAATTACCTAATCATAAAATTTTACGCTTGAATATTTTCAAAATATGTTTAAAATTAAAAAAGTTCAACTAATTTAAATGGAGAAATAATAATCTTAAACAACTTCAATCATAATTAAATTTAATAATTTAATTTTAAGAGCAATATCTGATTTAAAGAAAAGCATATGATTTTGCATTAACTGATGGAAAATCATATCCAAAATCACATGCTCCAGTTGGGCTTAAAATTGGTTCTATATGGGCATTATATGATCAATATTGTGATGTCTAGATTTTTTAATATTGCATCTATTACAGAGCCAATATAAAACCTATATTGGCGGAATAATGAATATAAAATATAGGGGGTAAATCTGACAATTCTATAAAGGGCCGATATTGGCTTTAGAGTGGCTTTAAAATGCTGGTGAATCGGACAATTCTATATAGGGTCTATATCGGAAAATAACGGCCCTTTGAACCCTCATTGAGCCAAGATTCAACTGATTGAGCCAAAATTCAACTGATTGAGCCAATATTGATTCAATTAGGGCCCAAGTCATTTTGCTGCAAGGGTATTTTTTTTCTTTTTATTTAAATCTTTAAACTATATTTAATCTTTAAACTATATAAACTATTTCTTTAAACTATATTAAAGAAAACACACCAAACATTAAATTTTCCAATAACTCACTTATTCGACCCTTTTCCTCCGAAATTCAGCTTGAATATCCAGTCTTCAGGTTTCTTGCTGCTCGGAACATCTCGTGAAGGTGGCTTTGTGACATCCTCTGAAAGTGAATAGCTACATTAAATGCTTTTGAACACTTGTTCCTGACAATGTAATTTGTCAAGATAATTGTGACTAAGAGTAGCATGTTTCTTCAACAGAGTATAAAAATTTTAAAAATATATATATATGGAAAAAAGAATCCCAGAAGAAATAGGTTTCTTCCAACTCAAGTAGAATAAACTCTTTTTCGAAAAAAAAATCTAATATTAAAAAAGCTTTTAAACAGCTTATAATTGCTATCTATTTTAAATAATAGTATAACTTTTTAAGCTACTTATTAAGTTAGCAAAAATAGAAAAACAATAATTGAAAAAAATTAATTTCTTGGAAGCAAGACGTTTTCGATGTCGAAAAAATGATTTTTTCAGCCATATCGACAAGCCATTTTTTCTTAATATTAAATACATTTTAAAACTTTAAACTTTACATTTATGAAAACTACATATTAATATCATTCAATAACAATAAAAAGGAATTTAAAATGTTTATAAATCTAATTTTTATAAATATATGAAAATTTAATGTATATATAAATTTTTTTTTACCAGACATAGCTTTCGGTACGCTCAAAAAATTTGCTACATAAAAAATCAACAAAAAATTGGCATACACTCATGTAAATATGTTTGAAAAATCAGGTGAAATAGTTTGTTTCATAATATGTACAGAATATATTATATGTAAGCAAAATAAATATAGTCTTTCTGAAAAAAATGCAAAAATTCGTTTTAATTTTAAAAAACTTCCCCTGTAAAACAAAATTATAATGAAAAAAATAAACTTTATATAGTTAATTAAATGTAAATAAGGTATATGTACAAGCATAGAAATTTTCATAACTTTACAATGATTTGTTTTTTGTACAAGCGTACCGAAAGTTATGTCTGGTAAAAAAAAAATTATATTTACATTAAATTTTCAAATATTTATAAAAATGAAATTTATAAACATTTTAAATTCCTTTTTATTGTTATTGAATGATATTAATATGTAGTTGATATAAATGCAAAGTTTAAAGTTTTAAAATATATTTAATATTAAGAAAAAATGGCTTGTCGATATGGTTGAAAAAATTATTTTTTCGACATCGAAAACGTCTTGCTTCCCTTAAGAAATTAAAATAACTGTAATTTAATAATATTTTATGTAAATAAGTAGAAAAAACCTAAATTTATAATTATATAAAGAACTATTAAAATATTACTATCACATTTCATTAATATTACTAACTTCACAAAACACATTTTAACAAAAAATATTTTTAAAAAAAAACATTGAATTCACAATTACAAATAGCATAATAATTATTTAAGGAAATTCTGTTGAGTGTGAACACTTAAACTGTCTCTGAAATATAATATTTAATTGACTCAATTTCATGTCACAATTGACATTATTCCAAGTCACAATTGACACAATTTCAAGTAACAATTGACATTTGCGATGGCAGTATTAAGCCGTTCACAAAACAATCTGGAAAGGTTGCTGCAAAGTTGGCTTTTTAGATTTCACTCTATCTCTAGAAAACAGCTACATTGTTATATAAATATAAATTAATTTCTCAAATTCAGTCATTGTCACTGTCTCTACACTCATTGATATTTTTAAGGGATGATCTTTATTCAAAACTCAAGAAGAAGAAGAAAACTATATTTTAAAAAAAATGTGACAAGGAGAAAATTTTTCAAGAATGGGACTCAAATTCAATGTGTGAAATACACATGTAAATCAAATCGGCAGATTGTATTCTTAAAAATTAGTAACATAAAAACAACTTAGAAAAAAGTAAAGTACCAGTCTCTTTTTCTGAGGGTTGTGGTGATTCACTTTTTGCTTTCTTTCCATTGGGATAATACTTTTCAAATCCTTTTGGAACTTTCTCACACAGCCTTTGCAAATGGTACAAAGATCCCAGGGGATAACTTCTTAAAGCAGGATGGAATTTAAAATTACTCTGTAAAATTAAGATAAATAATAATCATCATGTGTGAAACTAATAAGTTTCAAAATTATTATTTAAAAAAATAATCACTGGCTAAAATACTTACTGTACTCAATTTTCATTTTCACAGAAATGAATAAATTAATTTTTTTTTTTTTAACCATAGAACCATTTTTATACCTACCATAGAAAACTGAAATGTGAGCAGAGCCTGACTAAGGCAAGGACATAGGGGGGAGTTACCCCAGGCCCCCACAACAGAGAGGGCCCCCAAATCGAATAGAAAGTTTATTTTGCGTTTCCTTCTTTATTGAACTTTTTTTTAAACAAAATATCTAAACATTGTAAAATCTGTTAATTTAATGTTAGCTATTAATCTATAGCTTCCTTAATCTATAATATGAACACAAAAAAAATCTATATTTTGTAAATTCATAGCTTTATAAGGCGAAATTTAGCTAAATTTTCGCAATTATGACAGACAAATTTGGCGAATCAAAAATCTGTATTTTTACATATCACAAAATGCAATATGTCCACAAAAATACGGGTTTCTGATTGGCTTAATTAAGCCATCACAATTGCTAAAATTTAGCTTAATTCCGCCTTATTTCAACAAGGATATTAATTTTACGCAGCTAGATGACAAAGTTGACAATCAGAAAAACGAATTCGAATTAAATTATCAGAAAATCAATAAAATGGACAAAACGATATTTTGTCTGACCATTGGAGGGGGATGGACTTCATAGCTATTTTAGGCTCTAGTCAATTTTCATGTTATCAGGGGTCTGTCTACGTTTTTCTGTGAATTTTTGAAGGTACTGCTAATAGGTAGTAAATTTGGCCTGGACAAACCCCTGGTTATATATCAATCATGAAATGAAAAATTTAATTACCTCCGTTAAGTTCGGTTCTTCGTTAGTGATGCAGAGGAAGACCCCAACAAAGTTTTTGCCCTCGGGCCCCAATTAGGCTAAGTCGGGCCCTGAATAGGACTAAGAACAGCCAGTCAGTATAGGTAGAGTTTAAATAATTCAGATTCTTCCTCCTCAATTAACTTAATTCTTCAAGAAATATCAACGAAATGTCACTTCAGGTATATCGGGTTTATTCATAAATATGTATCACTGTATCGGTTTTCATTTCATAAATTCTTTAATTCGACTATTTTTTATAAAATACTTATAATTTAAACTTAAATTAGTTTAACATGAATTATTAAAGTCGTTCACACTGTTGTCAGCTTCAATCTACATCTCAATGTTAGTCTACGACAGAACTTATTTCACTTTTTTTCAGTAACTTACAGCCTGGCAACTTAATACTTTACATTAATGAATAGATCTTATACAAACTAAAAAACCTAGTGTTACAAATTATTTTTAAATGCTATCAATAATTTTCGAGGTTTTTCTGTATATTTTTCGTTCTAATATAACTGACTAAAAACATAATTTTCCCATAAAAATATTTTCAATGTGAAGTTTCTGTAGTTACTTTGAATAAACATCTGTATGATTACATATAATTGCACATCAATATAAATAAATATTATTAAAAAAATTTATAAGAGCAAATTTGAAGTTAAAAAACGAAGTTAAAAAGAAGCAAATTGAAGAGTATAATTTGTCGACATCTCGTAGACAAATTTTTTCCCCACACATATCTGGTCCTTTAAATTTTGCGAAATCTAAAGAAAATTTATTCTAGTTGCAATCATCTAGCGAATAATCAGAAAAACAAAAGCATTCTTGTTTTCCATTAGGAAAAATATTAGGGAAAGAAAAGAAGACCCAAGTACTCACTAAAATTCTAAGTAAATATGGCTCCAATACTTTCACCGAGCGACATAATCTGTAAGACATTGCAATCACTGTTGAAATTAAATATGACTTTGAAGTTTTAACATTTAAACTATTATTAAGTTTGTTTATTATATAAGGAAAGCTAAAAACAATCTTCTGTTGATGTAATTTATAAAGTCTGAACAGTTGTAATAGTTCGAACTCAAGTTCAATGAGTTTGTAATATTTGTCCTATGAAAAAGAAAGAAACTGATAAAACTGAAAATAAACAGTTTTAAAAAAAATTATTATGAACGAAAGTGATATAATCAATGAAACGTAGAAGCGCTTGTAACCTTTTACTCCGCATTCTGATGAAATCAGTAGTAGTAGTTGTAGTATTTTATTTCTGTCGCACTAGAGCTACACACGAGGAACAAATGGCCAATGCTACTGCATGAGGTGCACGCACTTTTGATCACCGTTGATGGAGAATGAGAATTTGATTGGTGAAAAAAATTTTCCGCAAAATGCTCAACAATCAGAACCATCTTTCTCGACGAAGATAGGAAATGCAAGAACCCCATTTAGAAAATTACACACTGGTAATTCCATTTTTTTTAACACAGTATGCACTGCACACTGCTCAGAGTTCAAAACGGGTCTCATCTTTTTTTCGAATGCACAACGGAGCGAAAGCTCTGAACTGTTTGGTTTCATGTTTATGTTTGCCTCGTAAGTTAAGCAATCCAAGAAGCAGAAAAAGATATTTGACTGATTCTATTACGTGACGAGCTTTGCTTTGTGCATTTTTGGGAGCGGAATCCTCTCCACAAGCTTCAGAACCGGGGTTTTTGTTTATATTCGGGGAAAAGAAGTGACTTTTAAGAGGAAAATGTTTGTCTTATTCTTTAAGTTCGGCTAAAAATTAACTTAGCTACGTCACAGAATGAAAATTTGATAAGTTATCCATGAGTAGAATTCCAGTTATCAAAGTTTTCTTTATTTTATTTAATATTCTTCTCTTTCTCTCTCTCTCTCTCTCTCATACAAAAAAAAAGCAGAGGGGGGAAGGTAAAATTCTTTCAAGGACGTACGAGTTGAATAAAATTGTAAGAAAAACTAGAAACTCTCTAAAGAAAAACTAGAAACTTTTGTGTTTCATAATTGTCACTAGAGAGCAGCATCAGTGTAAGAAAAAAGCTCGTTATTTTCATACTAACATTTCGAACACGAAGTGATACCTCTTCCCTTAGTTCTTTTTTAGAATAATAAATATATATAGAGAGATTTTTTTTTCCGAGAGGAATAATAATTTTTCTTTTGTACTGTTAGAATGGAAAACAGTTTCAAATCCAAGCTATAGAAACATTTTTGGTTTACTGAAAAATAATCGTTGAGCAGATTTTGTTGTCAGAAATTACTTAACGTAAAAAGCTTTTTATCCTTCCTCCTAGATAGCAGCACTACAGCCAAAATTTGCAGGGTTTGCAATATGATTATTGCATAATTATGAACATCAAAAATATCTTTATTGTAATTCTCTATAAAATTCGAAATCTATGATAAGTAGATAAACTAAATAACCAGTGATAATGATAAGTAACAAATAAAGTGTTAGAAATTCATCGTAGTTTTATGGGAAACTGAAAGGGTTAGATTAATTTTAGTGATTTTTCTTATTTGTAAATTTTTAAATATCTTGGCACACTTTAATTTTAATATTTATTTTTTTAAAGTTGTAAATTCTCTCTTTTTTTTAATTTATATATTTTCAAAAATTACAGTGTTGTATACATAAAACACCTTAGAGTTGTTTTAAAACTAACTCTAAGGTGCATTTTAATGCCCCTATCATAATTAACTTCCGTATGCAAAACTGAGGAGAATGTTTTAATCATCTATGTAAACCTTCATCTATCATAAGTTACCTCTAGATAGAATCAAGTTAACCTGTCTTATATACAGGTTAATTAGTACTTAATATTTATAGTTGTATATATATAGTTACACCATATTACTTCCCTTCTAGAATTTTATTTGTGATAGAATTCGATGAACAAAGTTGATTTATGCTGTTTTGTTTTTTTTTATTTTATTTTTTTATTTAATTATATAATTTTTGCAAATTTTAATCTTTCTTCATTTTCTTGTTTATAGCATTTCGCTCATTATTTTTCCTTCTTAATTTTTTGTTTATAGCATTTTTCTCATTTTTTTCCCTTCATTTTCTTTTCTTCATTTTTGTTTATATCATTTCGCTCATTATTTTTTTTCTTCAATATTGTTTATTGACCCTAAGATTATTTTCTTCACTGGAATTTTTTTCCTTTGGGCAGAATATTTTTAAGCAAATCAGCTATTTTAAGTGGACCCTCCATCATTGTTGGCAAGTTCATATCACGCCCGGGTCACCAACGAGGGGAATGTTCTAATCGACTATGTTAGCCTTCATCTATTAAAGGGTACCTCTAGATAGAATTAAGTTAATATGTCTTATATACTTGTGAATTGGTATTTTATATTTATAGTGGTAGTTACACCACAAAACAAGATGATTTTAAGCTCACTTTTATTGATTGCCATTATTAATCATGAGATGAGGTTTTTTTTTTTTATTTCCTGTGTATATGTTGTGAGAATCATTTAATAAGAATTGTTTACCTTGATTTCTTAATTTCTGGAATACAAAGACAAAGAAGTAATACTCAGTATAAACTTTAAATTATTTATCCTTTACACTTTTTTGTTCCAGAGTTAAACTTTAAAGCTTTATTGTTCTGTAAATTGGATAAGTAAGGAAGTTGCCAGATCAAAGCCTCAAAAATGTCTCTGTAATAATAAAAGTTAACACTTAATTAACTGTTGTAGAAAATCTCTGACTTAAAATATTATTATTTTCACATGCCTTGCCAAATGAAAGCATTAATTCGAAAATCGCAAGAAAGCTACAAAAAATTCCTTTATTATTCACTACATCTTAGGAAATACAATAACTTCGAATCAAAAATCTTTCTCTGTGACCATCTTTCAGATACAAGGGGCCGGCCAGATCGATTCCTGTCATCTGTTGTTGTTGTTGCTTATCCTCATAGATCTGACATTAGTCAGATCAACTCCAAAAAGTTGTTGACAGCCAGGAAGTCGATGACAAGAAGAGGAAATTAAGTCCACCTTGGACAGTCTGACGCAATCAAGTATATGTTTCGGTGAGGCTGGTTGGATACAGAATTTTTACAAATCGGGTAAATTTTTGTGCCACTTTCGAATGTTAGACATTTTAGGTGACCAGTCGAGAATCTGGCCAAGGCAGTCTGGGAGCTTCGATCGCAATTGATTCCCAGAAGGGTGCCAGGAGATGCCTAGGTGGAGTTTACCAGATTGATTTTTGTCTATATTTTTCATTGGAGCAAAGTTCCTGATAAGTAAGTGATGACCTGGTGGGCATATCTTCCACACTGCCCTCTTTGGCCAATCTATCTGCTATCTCGTTGCCACCAATATTAACATGTGATGGAATCCATTGGAGATGTATGTCATGGTGTTGAGAAATCTTTTTCATCTTGAGCAGGAAAGATATTCCTGTCATCTGAAATATTACAGTGTTTCGAATTCGTACAACTGGCAAAGCAATGGGTTCCGTTTCGGTTCTTTTAGCAATGAATCTTCTACAGCTTACACAACATTGAGCAACTGTTCCCGGCTTTGCAGATTAAAAAGTTCCCTCCTAAATTGCCCAATAATAAAGAAATTTCAACATGAAATAACTCCACGTATTTCCAGGAAATCAATAGGTGTTTTGATGGCAGTAGTACAGGATACACACAGGATGCAGGTTTTTGACTCTAATAACTCCTGATTTGTCAATAAATGTTCTTAGATTTTTGTTCTTACCTATGAAGCATTTTTTCTGAATCAATACGAATAGAGTTTTTTCTACTGTTTCTAGTTCAGTATATGACAGATCAGTTTCGTGCCATAAATTGATTTTCTCTAAATTGTCGACAAAACAAAAAATCCATTCTATAGGCCGTATTATTCTCTACTGAGAATGAAAGTTCTTATAATACATTCATTGGGCATATAGAAACTTCATCATGAGCTGTCAACACTTATTTACGCTCTTTGCCGTTTACTTCCTTTTCGGGGCTGAAGGTACTTTCAAGCACCCGTGATTCTGGGTTCGTTAACTATATTGGTCACTCCCACTATTTCATCTTTAAAAACTCTTCGCCGGAGTAACCACTGTAGGGTCGGTCTGTGGGGTTCAAATCAGAGGGACCATTCTTCTACTTCTGCCAAGCATCTTATTTCTTTCACACTGTTCCAAACATGTGTCTCATATTTCATTGAATCCAACACAATATGAGACTGAAGTCAGTCCAGTAAAATGTTTCGAGTTTTGGAATTTTTAAATCAACAATAACAGTTCTTTCTATCCAGCTCCAATTAATCATCTAAACAAAGCGATTCGTGGAATTGTTATAATTTTTAAAGGAACAGCACTTTCCCGGGCTTGCACAAAATTCACGTAAACCTGGTCTTTAGTCTCCACTCTTGAAAAAATACAGGTTGAATATGCAATTCTGCAAGCCTCACAGAAGTTATGTAGGCTAATCTTCTCTTCAGTGGATTTACCGATATTTTGCTATCTTAGAATGTTCAGAGTAGCAAGCAAACTTACGTCTTTAATCCATTTTAAAAATTTCTGTTCTAAATGTTCAGTTAATCATTGATTCCAATTTAAATTTGACTTCCAGCATTCTTGCAATACCAATTTAGAGATTAGGGTCACAGAAGAAGAGAAACCCGAACGATCGAACAATTTTTGAGCACACGACAATATTGTTCATTTAGAGGCAATAATTTCCCCCTCCCTCTGTGATTCAATCCTACAAGAAAGAGTACCATTTTTCAATTCTCAGTTGTTTAAGTCCAAAACACAACTGGATACACTCAATCTAGAATACGTAATTAATTTAATTTCGCAATTTGACTACCTAAGACTAAATTTAGCTGATTATAGTAACATTTTCGATCCCGATATAAATTATTTTATTTTATTACCGCCGCTGAACAGCCGGCCCAATTTTTTTTAGTTTACGACTACTAATGTTCAACTACGTAGCCTTGTAATTTTGAACCCAATCCAGAAGACAAGGGAACTCCTGGATCAAGTAGTGGGAGAAATTTGCCTTCGTGGAAGACTTTTTTGATGAAACTATTCTGAATTTGCGTTACACGGAGAGGAAAAGCACTAAAACCTCCCATGATTAGCCTAACGACAAGGGGACTCTGACCCATGATCCTTCTACCACTGAGG